TCCGCATGCAGCCTTCGCTTGCTTTCATTAAACCACCTTTATCTTGACCCATAAGTTTTTTATCTTATTTTCTCCCCCTGTCTTACTGAGGAGGGCGAGTGAGGGAGCAGCTTCCGAAATTCAGAGTTTTATAGATCATTTTTTCTGACCACTCTGCAAACATTCAGAGCCTGGGCTATGGTAAACCACTGAAGTTGGTTACTACCTGTATGAAACCCAGTAGGCATGACACTCATGCTGCTTATCTGTGCCCCAGCAGAAAGTGAAAATAACACATAGCAAGGATAGACACATTTGCTTATGGATATAGGGAGAATGAAGGAGAAAAGAAGCAAGCAAGGAGGCTGAACCCCTTCTATCTTGCTCTCTCGCTGTCCTTCTACCACCTGCGGCACTGAAACGCTGTGTGCCAGAACCACTCAATGGCAGAGAGGTTGTAACTGCTCAACCCTCAGCCTGCCCTCCATCCAGAAAACAGCTGTACCCATCCTCTACTGAGCAAGGGCATGGAGTACTGCCCTTTGCTCTGGGCTTTGATCCTATCTAATTTATCCCACCTTATCTAGCACTACCATCAATGATCGTGCTTCCCTCAAAACGGCTGCCTTCATAGTTCATGAAAATACCTGTCTAGATGGAGAAAACTGTGTTGCAAAAAACCCCACACCACACAAAAAACTGCAAACCTACAATCTGCCTCACCTAATCACAGTCCTTAACTGCTTCCTCTGGCCTGCAGAAGTAATCTCTGCTGAATTAAACTCCACCCAGCCTAACGGTCTGTGTTGGCCACATACTAGAAAAGTTATGTGCGGTGCCGTTATCTATCGCAGCTTGGTCACAGTAAAATTGTACCTCGTCTGTTTACTGTTGGCAAAGGCTCCACAAAGTCCCATTATTTCTCCTTGAATACACACATAAACACTAAATGGGACAGGACTGAGAATGAAAGTCCTTTCTTGCTTAACACATTCCCCCTAAGCCCATCCGTCACCCTTGGAGCAGCACCAAAGCACTGCTGCTAAGGAACAGCGTGAGGAGACCTAGGAGGGAGTACACTCTTCCTTATTCAAGGAAAACAGAGCATGGTCCAGGAATTCCATCAGTTCTGTTCATTTTTAAACAGAATGATTCATATTGTCTTGCAAGTGCATTGACCAATTTACAGAAGACTGTTTAAACAAAAGAAAAGCAACAATTATCCTCTTGCCTCACTTCTGAGGATTTTTGCTTTCCCAGTAGGGCATAGCCATACCATCTTCGGAGTTGCTCGGGGTATATGAGTGAGAACCTCTTAAAATACAAAAAAATCATAAGCCGTTATTATTATGAATATTATAATCACTGAAGCAGTCACTCTTTAAAGAGTCCCAATTTCAAATTTGGGTTAAAGTTGATTGGACTAGAACACTATGTGTAGATATATGCTTTTTGTTCAGTTTTTTGGTAGCTTCTCCACAACCCAACAACAAAGGTTGCAGCATGCTAAGACACTGGTTGAGCTGATGCCACAGAAATTGAAATGGATGTGAAAGCTGAACTCTGATTTGGACACCTCCCAGATGAAAGCACTTGGCCCAAACTGAAGTCAGATAAGGGCTGCTTGACAGATTGCTTTTAAAAAGTAAAATATATATTCATTTTTTTCTCATTCAACCAAGAAAACATCCCTTATCTAAAAGGAAATTCCTTTGTCTAGGAGTGAAAACTCAGATTTAGATGGTTCCACAGATTGGCAATGAAAAACATTAGGCCTCTCAGCAACGTTCTTCAGCACCCTTCACATGCAGGCTTGGCCCTGTATTTCAACTGCCCAAGGCACGTGGCAGTCAGATACTTAAGGATATGACTGTATACGGAGTCTGTGTCTGGCAGCCCTGAATAGTAGGTGGTCTGCATCGCTCATTACTCTCATGCTGTCGGCTTTGGGGCAGCAAGTTAAGCAGTGTGAACAGAGCTCCTGGGCAAGCAATTGGAAGAGGGAAACATTATCCTTTGTGCTCAATTCTTGAACAGTTCTTGCATCGTTTCCTTAATGTACACCAAACTGAGATGCAAGCCTTCAACAAGCCCTTAGAAATTCTCCAGGGGCTGCTCTTCCCAAGAGTTGTCTAGCCAGACACCGTGGGATGTTCTTTTGCTGTCTGAAAATACCCCCCTTATTTTTAAGAACATTTTTTTTTTCTATCTGTTTAAGAAACCACTATTCTATCTTAGCCAAGATCTTTGTTAAAATGTAATTATTTACATTGCACCTTGGCTAAAGCAGCGTGCTAGAGAGAATTTAGCCAGGCAGCAAAAAGCCTTAGTTTAGGGAGGGGGGTGGTTTCCCCTCATTAATCTGTTTCTGAGGTAAAAAATGTTTTCTGCAGCAAAACGCCTCTGACAGCAAGTTTGTAAGGTTCTGTGCCTGAATGTTCCTTGACTGCTTTCTTCTTTCTTTAACAAAGGCTGTGCATCATCCGCCAAACTTCTGATTTATTTTTACAGCTTTATAAATGCAATGCATTTCATGCAAAAGACTATTCATGAGTTTTAACATAGCACAACTACTTTAAGACTGTACTTCCTAAGAATTCCTAAGAAGCCGCAGGTATATAAATGCCCTCTTCTGCATTTTCAGGTCCTTACTGTCAAAATCACTCAAATACAGAGTCCTAGGTGTGACAGCAACTGGAAAGAGAGACACTTTGGTACTTACTGTTTTTTGCATGTGAAGAAATTTTTTGTTATACAGACAGACAGTAAGCACTCACTACTGTATAGACAATTCACAATTACCAGCCCTCACAGACCCTGCCTTGTTTTTCTGAGGGTGTTTCTTCTTCCTCACACCGGAGGCCTTGTCCATACTTGGAAACTGCACCAATTCAGTTGTTTTAGTGTAGTACAAGCACTCAGGGTGGGCAACATCGATGCGTTTTATACCCACGCAGATACCATGACACAGGAAGGCTGAAGTGTAAGGCATTTCTATACTAGCAAAGATGTATCTATGCAAGAAGCAGTAATACACCTATAAAGGTATGAAATTAATACAGGCATGCATGTCTACACCCACATATACACACCTACCTTGCAGAATATTCATACTCAGCATTTTATTTGGCAATTTATCAGCATGCTCTGCCAAAAACGGCAGATCCAAATCACAGGCATGGTGTGACTCATGTGAACATGTAAATCATAGAATCATTAAGGTTGGAAAAGACCTCTAAGATCATCAGGTCCAATCATCCACTCAACACCACCATGCCTACTAAACCATGTCCTGAAGTGCCACATCTACACGTTTTCTGAGCACCTCCAGGGATGGTGACTCCACCACCTCCCTGGGCAGCCTGTTCCAAAGCCTGACCACTCCTTCGGTAAAGAAATTTTTCCTGTTATCCAATCTGAACCTCCCCTGATGCAATTTGACGCCATTGCCTCTCATCCTATCACTAGTTACTTGGGAGAAGAGACCAACACTCGCCTCACTATAACCTTCTTTCAGGTAGTTTTAGAGGGCAACTACTGCAGCTGTAGAGGTACCCCCTCAGCCTCCTCTTCTCCAGACTAAACAGCCTCAGCTCCCTCAGCTGCTCCTCATAAGACTTGTTCTCCACACCCCTCACCAGGCTCGTTGCCCTTGTCTAGACACACTCCAGCACCTCAGTGTCCTTGTAGTGAGGGGCCCAAAACTGAACATAGCACTCCAGGTGCGGCCTCACCAATGCCGAGTACAGGGGCACGATCACCTCCCTACTCCTGCTGGCCACACTGTTCCTGATACAAGCCAGGATGCTGCTGGCCTTCTTGGCCACCTGAGCACACTGCTGGCTCATGCTCAGCCGGCTGTCGACCAGCACCCCCAGGCCCTTTTCCACCAGGCAGCTTTCCAGCCGCTCCTCCCCAGGCCTGCAGCGCTGGATCGGGTTGTTGTGACCGAAGGGCAGAACCCGGCACTTGGCCTCGCTGAACCTCACACAACTTTGCCCTGGCTCTTCCACCTCCAGGCGCCGCACGCAGGGCCCTGCCCGCCAGCCCTCACCC